ATTTTTCAACCCATCTTTTCAAATGATTTATTGGGTATGCCAACACAACACCCCCCCCCCCCCCAGTCTCTTATCTTGAAAACTTCGGCTTGAAGGTAATATTGTTTTTTGGTCTAAGTTCTATCGGCTAAATGGAGGTTAAATCCTGGCGAGACGTTGACACAACCTAGTTTAAAAAAGGAAACACTCGCATTATCATGTTTAGGCGTTTTAAGAATTTTTTGAGGTCGCACTAATTGAAAATCTTATTTTCGAAAAATTGTTCAAAAAATTGAATCCAAAAAAAACTTTAAGAAATGATAGCAACTGAAAAAGCACACAAAATGAAACATAAAGAAATGAATTGAAGCAGTGACGTAGGATGAATAAGAAAGTATTATACGCCAGTAAAATGGATTGCGATTCAATAAAATTTGAGAAAAAGGTTTCAAAAAATAATCGATTAGAACCGATTAAAAGGTTTTTTATATTTTCCAAAAATAGGAATATTATAATCCATTTTGTTTGATTATAATCAATTCTTTTTGAAATTTATTGGGACTGTCAATAAAATCCTGTATTATCATTTGTTGTTGTTTTTTACTGAGTGCGAGTATTCAATCTCAAAGGTTGATTTTTGATTTCGTTTTTTATATATTACCTGCTTATATTTAGTCATTGAACTTGTCTTTTTTGTTTATGTAGACTTTGCAATATTACCAAGGTAATAATCAAAATCATAAATCTGAAACTAAATTGCTTACTCAGCAGTTGCTAGATCCTTATCTTGAGTTTCTTTCAAGATAAGACAAATTGTTAGATACAGTTCCCTAACACATAGGGACGTTTCTTCACAACTTTGAAAAAGAATGCCATCCTCTTTATTAGATGAAAGCCGGCGTAATTCTCTTTTTAACTGAACACAATTAGCGGCCGTAAAATGGTGAAGACAAATTCGAATCGCTTTTTGTCCGTCTGTTAAATTCAGCGACGGGTTCCACATTTTTTCTTATTAGTTAGATGTTCTATTTTGCTTTTGATTTTGAGATTTTTTTCTTATAATTTATTGGATCGTTTTGTTTTTATTTCTTTTGGTTTTTTAGAAGATTTGATTATTTGTTTGATATTAGATTTAAAAATTGTAATTTCACAAAGTCTGTCACATAGGGTTGAAATTTCGGGAAAACTCCGTGTCACATGTGAATTACATGTTCATGTAGTTTGTAAAAAAAATCAAATACAGATATGTATTTACTTTCATTTTAAATTATAAACCATGTAATAATTAACTCGTGGTGTATTTTTTTCAAAAACGCAACAAACAAAACCAATTTTTAAAACAAAGTTTTAACCGGAAAAAAGTTAGAATATTACTACCATGCTGGAGATTTTGTGTGCCATTTGTATGCCAAAACATATTCCATTGAAATTTTATAACTTAATGTTCCGACTTTCGATACGAAAGTGACGAAATATTTGTGCTCGGGGTGGGTTTTTTTCTTCAGACAAATTTCGACTTTTTAACTAGCCATTTTTGAATGATTTTTTTACAACATTCGAAAGGTATTGTTGTCTTGAGCTCAAATTTGAAAAGATATTTTACCTGTGATCATTTTTCGTAAAGTTACGGGGGTTTAAAGATTGCCATTTTGGCCAATTTGGGACAATTAACGCGATATATTTCGCGCTATTTACGCGTAAGCGGAGAGTTAATCCGCCTTAGAAATCGTTCCAAATTGGTTAAAAGAAGTTAATGTGCCATAATTGGTTTGTTATAAGGAGCGAAATCTATCCTTTTGTACTTTGTATGGCGTGTGGGGAGATGATTTTCATAAAAAATTTCAAATTTTAGAAAAATTTTTTTTTTTGATTTTGTTTTTATTTCATTGAATTTTTAAATGTTATTATTGCTCCATAAACCTTAAAAGGCAGTCGGAACATTCAGGGTTTCGCCCTGATACGAGCAGTCTTGTTGTTCCGACTTTCGATACGAAAGTAACGGAATATTTGTGCTCGGGGTGTGTTTTTTTTCTTCAGACAAATTTCGACTTTTTAACTAGCCATTTTTGACGAGATTTTTTAATATCATTCGAAAGGTATTGTTGTCTTGAGCTCAAATTTGAAAATATATTTCACCTGTGATTATTTTTCGTAAAGTTATGGGGGTTTAAAGATTGCCATTTTGGCCAATTTGGGACAATTAACGCGCGATATATTTCGCGCTATTAACGCGTAAGCGGAGAGTTAATCCGTCTTAGAAATCGTTTCAAATTGGTTAAAAGAAGCTTTTTTGTCATAATTCTTTTGTTACAAGGAGCTAAATCTATCCTTTTGTACTTTGTATGGCGTGTGGGGCGAGGATTTTCATAAAAAATTTCAAATTTTAGAAAAAAAAAATTTTTTTCATTTTATTTTTTCTTACATTTAATTTTTTAATGTTACTACTGCTCCATAAACCTTAAAAGGCAGTCGGAACATTCAGGGCTTCGCCTTGATACGAGCAGTCTTGTTTACATTTGCTATCCATTTTGTTTTAAAATATTTTGTCTTCATTTCTACAAAACCGCAAGCACAATTGAAAGAACAAATATAAAGTACAAGCCTGGAAAAACTGCAAGAACAAATATAAAGTACAAGCGTGGAAAAACTAGCCACTTCACGGTCATTTCACTAAAATAGAAATAAGTAGTACTTCTTATTACAGAAAATTAGAAATAATTGGTGTTTCGTATTACAGAAATGAGGTTTAGTTTTGTAACTTTTCTTCTTTGCAATTCATCCATATGACTATAATTAGATTTAGATACACAGACATAAAGATCATATTTTACTTTTCTACTCAAAAACAAGGTTTTTTATGCGGTCCAAAAATATTAGACTGATAATTGAGCTTTTGTTTTCATTGAAATCTTAGATTTATTTTCCTGATATGAACTTCAAGCAATCAGGTTCCAGCATTATAATGAAACTTTCAAAATAACAAAATTATCATTTTTGGGCTGTATAACAGAAAAGACCAGAAATCAGCGCGGGTGACCAAATTTTGTTACCTAAAAACGTGTTTTCAAAGAATCTTTCAAAAATGGCAGTAAGATTGTTATACCATAGGAAGTTAAGAAAAAGTACACAGAGGCTGAGCGGAGCGAATCGAACAAACAAAATAAAAAAATATATGTCAATCAAAATTCTCGTAGGTGTCGATAAAAGTTCATTCTAGGCAGACATGCTAAGCAAAACAGCCAAAAATTGCGACGGCACAAAGCTTACGAAGCGGAAACCAAGCCGATAATTTTCGGGCAGACATCAGTTGCGCCGAAAAAAAATTGTAACATTTTAAAGCCCCACTTTAAAATTACAAGGAACAATACTTGCAGCAATGATGCAAATTACTTATGGCACTAAGATGTGGCAGATGTGGCAACTAAGCCGAAAAAAAATGAGCAGAAAAACAAATGTCCGGTAATTCAATTTTTACCAAAAAAAAACTTCAATCTCATTCATACTGGAAAAAAAGACCTGGAGACCAGATCTTAGGTTGCAAAGGCGACCAAATTACCTCTAGCCTAAGTGGGAACAAGTGGGAACGAACCTAGAAAGTGTTTATTTTGTCACAAGAAAAATGCCCGATAAGAACTTTTACTACAAAAGTATTCGCATTACCAATATAAAAGTTCTCTGACGTCGCAGTACCGTAATTGACACTCATAGGTCAACTTCAACATTTTGCCACATTAATTGACCGATTTTTGTTTTGTCATTTTTTCATTGAAATGCATACTTAATAGACACAAACTGACAAAAACTTTTAACTGCATTGAACTGAAATAAAAAGTAAAGTTTTCAAAAATTCATTTTTATCCATAATTACGGTGAAAAAACGTATTCAAACGTATTCAAAATAGATTTGAGGATTTTTAAAGATTTTTTAACCTATTTATACCCAATTATAACCTATTTTTGAAATCTTGTTTCAATTTTTTTTATCTATGCGCGTCCAGACAACTCGGCCAAAGACAATTCAGCCGATTTGAAATTCAGACAATTCAGCCAAAAATATGCAGACGATTCAGCCAATAATAATGACCGCCGCAGTCGCGCCTACGTGTTGCGAGCGTGCCAACAGAGGGTAGGACTTTATACGAAATTTAGAGCCGGTTATCGCCGCGAAGCGACGACGCGCGCGTAGCCGCCCACTGGCGACCTTAAACCGAGAAATAACTCCAACACCGATTTTTTATTTCGAATCTAGCGTTTTGTAAAACTGGCTGAATTGTCTCAGGCTGAATTGTCTGTATTTATTTGGCTGAATTGTCTGAATTTCAAATTGGCTGAATTGTCTTTGGCCGAATTGTCTGTGCGTGTCTGTTTTTTATGACTACAAAATCAAGCTATCAGCCAAGTGCCAAGTCTTTTGCCGCAAGCCCGTTGCTCCGACATTGAGAGTGCTAGTTTTAAAATCTCAAAACGCTAAGAAAAATCAATCTGTTGACGTTACTAACTATATTCGAAGTCAAGAAATTTTGATCGAGACAATTGATATAGAACTCCATTTTTAAAGTTAGACAGGTATTCTATTTAATCAAAAAGTTATAGCTGTATTTGTTAAAAATTCAAATTCCTGAAAAAGTCAACAGAAAAGAGTTGAAACTTCAAGAAGACGTAAGAAAATTTTGACAGTAGTAGCTGCGATCAGAACCTGCCGATTATTTCTGCCCTGCTTGCAGTCGAATTTTGTCGCAATAATGGTTGCCTTCCTCCTAAAAATAAGACCTTGCAGTAGAATATCAAATGGACGTTTTGGACATTTTTATTTCGCGTTGACCGCTCAAAATCCTTTTTATGTTATGCATATTATTTCACGCCTGATTTGATTCTTTTTTTGAGTTTTTGTTATTATTTTTGTTTCTACAACTCGTAAAGGATATCTTTAAGAATCATTCTATTATAAATTGAAAATAATGGCAGATATAAATTTTATGATTTGAAAGCGCTTCAGTGTGAGCACGTGAAGGTGCTTTGAATCGAATAAAAAGACTAATCACAACAGTGGTTTTATGTAATCACCACATACAAAACAATCAAAACGAACATTTAACTGTGATAATACGTTGAGATTTACACATTATTTTCTTTCATTATTACACAAAAACATATATTTTGGAACACTAGCACAAAGCCGCTGAACTCAAACCTCCTCTCATTTTAATTTTTTAATTACTATGAGTTAAAACAATTGATTAACTATTTGATATGGATCCTATATCAGATTTGAACGAAGACTCGCCGCGTCTTATAAATCACTATGACAACAACTATGAAAGCTTTCCCCAAGCAATCGGTCAAAATTCAACAACAAAAACAGAAGACTTACAATATTTCAATACAGAAACGAGAGAAAGAAACAACGACGAACTACATTTAGGCAAAACTGTTTCAATCCAGAAAACTGACTCTACGGATGTTGCCGCAACTGAAAAGAGTCCAGAAAAACCTCACCGATTCCGGGATTTACTTTCAAAGCGGGCCAAGTCTGCGGCACCCTCAAGCGGAGCAGAAGGCTCCGACCACGAGGACGGAAAACGAGAGAAGAACGAGAAAAGTGGAAAAGGGTGGGGGAGTAAAAACAGAATGGGGGAGCATAGTGGGGAAACGAGCAGTAGAGCCCGCAGTGCTTTCGATGCTGTACGCGCGGTGGACAAAATGAAGCGAAAGGCGAAGCGGAGAAAAGATGAAGAGGAGATTGCAGCTGAGCGGGACAATCGAGAGGTTATTTTGAGGGTTGAAGGTTTGAATCCGGCTGCCAACCGGAAGGGAGTTTAGGGGGGAGCCTTATGGCAAGCGCTCTTGGCAACCGCTCAAAGATTAAACCCCTCCTCCCCTAACCCCCCCCCCCCCCCCCTGTGTTCCGGCTGTCTATTAAATTGTTAAATAATTAGGCTGACTAAATATTAAATTCTTAATTCAGAACACTTTTGAAACCGGCATAATAAATTGAATTTTGCTTTAAGTATCATAGATAAAGTCTTCTTAGGAGCTGGGTTGATCAAAAATTGTTATCTTAGAAGTTTTCTCATAAAATTTTCTTCACATTCTTAGAAAATAAGTTTTCTAAGAAAGTTATCAGATAGGGAAATTTCCTCATAACAAAGTTATCTTTTAAAAAATTTCCTTCAAAAAAATTACAAAACCAAAAAATTTAAATTTCAAATTTTCTAAAGAAAAAACCATCCAAATCCACTATCGCAAAGTACTATAAGGGAATCTTAAAGGCCAAAACTGACAATTCTAATTGAGGCAATCTTATCGTAAATTCTTATTGTATACAAATGATTGCTACTTGCGGACTGCAAAAGTTTTCATCAATATATATCTGAATTCCACATAAAACACGTCCAAAGTTACATAGCATGATTTGTCAAATTGTTTTTTGTCCCCAAAAAAATTTCAAACCGCAAATTATGTATGACCAAGAAATTTTCTGAAAAAAAAAGCATTTTTTTGTTTTTGAAATCATTGTTAGAAATGCATATAAGATAGCCATAATCTCCAAACTTTTACTTTTAAAGGGGAAAATAATTAAAATTGCTTGGAATGCGTAATTTTAGTATAAAAGGACAATCAAAATATTTCATACAAGGATTTTTTAAAATCTTTTTTTTTTGGGAAAAATTTGCTTAGCTTTATTCTTATAACTTAAAGTTTCGTACATATCTTATAAGAGTTTCTAATACAGAGTAAGTTTTTGTAGGATCGTCAACGCGGGTATTAAAAAATCATTTTACGTAGACTCGTTTTAAACGAAGGATGGTGTGTAGCACATCCGCTTCGGAACTGGTAGAGAGCAGGTTCGATCCCCACAGTAAAAATTTATTCTAAAAGTAGTCTGCATACAAAATCACCTCAAACATGCATTCCTTACTGCTCTGAAAATCGTAAGAAATATCGACCGGCATAATGAAGACGCAGAGAATGTTAACGCAGCTTGTATTGTATAATTAAAATCTCTTACCTGTTTTCTAATGTTTATCTTTATTCGACCTTGCTTCATCCATATTAAATTGACTGATCTACTTTCAAAGGACCACCCCAATAATTTTTTAATTGTCCCTCCGTTTAATTTTTTCTTCTCTTTTGACATCTGCCGACGGATTAAAAATTGATCGGCTACAAGATTTCAATTTCGATTGAGCTCATATTCTTTCATATACTATGACACGCACACTTGATTTCTTTTCTATTAATTATCTTTACTTCAAGCCACCGGTCGCTTACTGTGTTTGACGTTAATGAAAAATTAACGACTGCGTTTTTGAATGACTTGTCGCAGCGACCTTTTTATCGCTTTATCTTGTGAAAAACTACACTGTTTTTGTTCATTATCTTAAGTTTAAATCAAAGTTTTGCTTCATCAATTGTGCCATCAACGCTATGGTGTTGTGTTAAATTTAACTTTGAAAGTTTTCAAATGAGACACTTTTACTAAATATTTTCTTTTCAAAATTGAGTTGTACAAATACTCAACAATTCTTTCATCTTTCCCTTTTGTATTTAAGGCAGATTTTTTGGAATGATAATAACCTAAATGTGCTAAACTTCATGATTCGTTTAAGATTATTGGCTTGACTAATCTCATTTTACTTTTGCGAGACATTTGCAGTAATGGTAGCCACTAAGAAACCTACAACATCCTGCAAGCCTCCCAACCCGACCAATAAGGGTTTATTTATCACAGTCTCCTGCAAAAACTATATCAATTTCGACACTAGAGAAAAACCAAGTGCAAAAGTCATCCGGGTAAGTTGGAGTATATAGTGTAAGCCCAGCCTAAAGTGTAGCTTCGCAGAAAAAAGGACAATTTTATTTAATCAAACTTTGATTTTAAAAAATTGTCTATTTTTTCTGCAAAATTACACTTTAGGCTGGGTTCAATCAGTGCAAATACCTGGTCATTATTCTTGCAACTCAGACTGTTAATGTTTTTCAGTATGATTTAAATGTGTCTGTTTTTAAATGGTATCAATGTTTTGAATATACAAAAATCTGAAAAATGTTGACAAAATCATTGACAAAATCTACTGATTATTCTGCAAACAAACGATTGAAAAATCAGAAAATTTACCGGTGATGCAGATGAAGTTGAAAAGTATATCATAACCAGGTCTTTTGAATCTAAAATTGAGTTGCATTGAAAATTTTCTAAAAACGTCGATTCACTAGAAAAATCTAGACAAATCGGTTCACGTTTTTCTCGTTTTAGACTATTTGTAGAACCAATACTCAACGCAATTTAGCTAAGTAACAAGACTAAAACATTGTGTTTTATGCTTGCAACAGTGCTCGTATCGGGGCGATCGTTTTTTGCTCTTCTTTCAACTGCCAATACGAATAAGTAAGTGTGATAATTTGGGTCATATAGGAAATTAATATGTTCAATTAGCTTGCCTCGGATGAATTTGAATGGTTTTGAGAGCGGAATAATTTGCCATGCTTAAGTTTTTTTTTCGTGCTCGCGCTTCACCAGCATAAATAAATTCTCAGAAGAGCGCATATATTAGTCAAGAGCATGGCCAATTTAGCCATTTTCAAAGACAAGAACTTCACCAAATTCAACCTCAGGTGAAAAATATTCTTACAATTGAACTCAAGGCGTCCATGTCTTTATCGCAATATAAATTTTGTTGGTAAAAATTTATTTCGATTGCCGAAATTGGTCGAAATGAAAAACTCAACAAATATGTTCCGCTATTTTCTTCGTAACGGAAAATTTTACCAATAAATTTAATTATTTACAATAATAATTTGTTGGAATTTTAGTTTCCACCATCACTCCCCCTTCACACATCAAGAAATATTGAACAGCGACAACTCATGAACAAGTATGGTCAGTTGCTGGGCTCAGAATGGCCGGACAACTACAATTGAAGAATAGAAAAAAATGACAAAAAGTGTTCAAAAAAATTAGGATATAATAAAAAATTGATAGAATTTTTTTCAACTTTTTCATTTTTTTTTTCAGTAAATGGCAACTGAGTACGGTAAAAACAACTACAATTGAAGAATAGAAAAAAATGACAAAAAATGTTCAAAAAAAATAGGATATAATAATAAAAAATTGATAGAATTTTTTTCAACTTTTTCATTTTTTTTCAGTAAATGGCAACTGAGTACGGTAAAAACAGCTACACTTGAAGTATAGAAAAAAATGACAAAAAGTGTTCAAAAAACAGGATATAATAATAAAAAATTGTTAGAATTTTTTTTCAACTTTTTCAATTTTTTTTTTCAGTAAATGGCAACTGAATACGGTAAAAACAGCAAAACTTAAAAATCAAGCTAAATTAAACTAAATATTGCATGCAAGGGTAATTGAGAGCACAATGTTTTTCGAAAGTTTTAGGCCATTTAGTCTGAAAAAGGGAAAAATTCAGACAGGCGGCTGAAAGCGGTTTAATTGACTTAATTTTTATATCTGACTTCCAACGAGTTCTCTTTAGGGAGCATTGTCTCTAAAAGCACAGGTTATCTTTAGTTTCTTTCGAGATCAAAAACAAAGATGAATATTGAAAAAGGAAGACAAAAAAATCAAAATTTTCATGAATATGAGCGTTTTTAAAGTTATTTTCAAACGAAACTTTCACTGCGCTATTTTTACAACAAATGGTTAATGTTGTAGTTCCTGCTTCTCTCAAAACTCTGGATAAAACACTGTCCTAACTTGGGTTTCACTTGCAATTTCAGGTGTCTTGGAGCAATTTGGTGGCGATGAAGCTCATATTGAAGCCCCTAATATACTTAATTTAAAGCAGCAGATTTTATCTCGACCATTTATCCCGACAGGTTTTTACCCAGAAAGAGGTGAAAGGAACAATAGCGTAGATTGGGTGTTTTGCAAAGTATACTTCTTTCAATCAATAAGGAGGCCCTTGTCTTTGAACCCGCAAAACTTTTTGACTTTGTGATATCCCTAAACTGCGTAGCGTGTTGAGGAATAAAAGTAAGAAAAGATACTGTTAATTTACTGTTCTTGATCTTGTCTTTTAATGAAGTTAGTAGCTGAGATTGGTTAATGTTTTTTAGCATGAGATATAAAACACTGACCAATTCAACCATAACGTTTTAACAACACCAAATGGCCTTGACCACTCTTATATAATAATAGCATAATGGATATAGTTAGCACATATGGTTACTGCAGATGCAGTAGCTAGCAAACTGTCCTCAAGGTTATGTACTGCGGATGCTGCAATACCACATTCCCCCAGGGACCAAATAAAATTTTATCTAATACATATAAAATTTTTATAAATAACAATACTATGAGTTTTCAGCTCAGTTTTCGTGGTGCCATTGATGCATGAATGTTCTATTTTGAGTTTTAACTATAAGTTTTTCTTTTCCATTTCTTTCTTCTTAATTTCTAACGGCACTTTCCACTGCGTGCTCCATGGTTGTGTCGTATCCAAAGCGGCATACCCAAACTTCTTGCGAAATAAATGGCGTTCTAGAAGCTTCAGTCGGGTTTCCATCGGATTGTTCTTGTCCGTTTTGACATTCGCCAGTCCGGATCGGTACTGCTCTTAGGCCATTTCGTTAACGTCTGTATCGTCATCCGCGCTAATGAATTTAACCGAATGTTTGACGGGGCTGCCCAGTCTTTTAGGCCCCTGGTTTTTCGTGGTTCGCTTACTACGCCTGACGTTCGCGCTTCATTGATCGTCTACGACTGAATCGTCCGAAATTCCTGACGGAGATCCGTGTTCGCCTGT